TTTTGTTGTTTCATTCTTTTTTTATTGCTTATTATTTCTCCTCCTTTTTCTTATCTTTCTCTTCCTTTGAATTTAATCCTATCTTCATCTTTGGTTTTCCTGCATTCCCCTCTTTATTTTATTCCTTTTTGATCGTTCCTTACTACTTTCTATATTTTCATTCACTCTCTCCTTGTTTTTTCTAAGAGATTTTTTTATTTGAATTTATTCTTTTTATTTTAGCTTCTTTAATCGTATTTTCCCATTTTTCTCTTTTTTTTAATAACATTTTTCCTTAGTTGCTGCCTGTTTTATTTATTTTTTTAAGTGAGTGAAGTATGTGAACTGTATTTATTTATTTTAACTTTTTATTGTAAATTGAGTGAAGATTCCAGATCAGATCAACAGTTTTACCTTCAACAAATCCCACACTTCATTTCATCTCACTGATTACAATCCCCACTATGTAACATCATTTATTCCTCTTCTTGCTTGAGTGTTTTTTTTTGTTTTTTTTTTTAATGTTTTATTGTGAATTGTGTGATAGTCTACATGGGAGAACATCAGTTTTACCTTCATTCCATCATCCATCATTTCATTGGCATCCCGTCCATGCATCCTCACCCAGCCAATGGCTGTACCCTGTAAGCCTGCACACCACCCCCCTATAGTCCTCAGCCCCTTTCCATCTCCTGATCTCGAGTCCCCAGCCACACCATCTCTTGATGTCCTCTTCTCTGCCTTCATCTCAGGCCACACCACCTCTCTGGGTAGGATTCTGCTCTTCGCTCTTGTCCATTGATGGTCCCAGGGTCCTTTGCTCCTAGACTGATAAGTTAATCACTCTCCTCTTTGTTATAAAATGTCCATCTTTAGATTTCCAACCCTCACAATCAGTTCTGATAACAGTTATTCACCATTGCATCACAAGAGACCCATCTGTATTTCATTTCATCAGTCCTTCCTGGACAGGTTGGACGCTATTCACTGGAGACTCTACCTTCCTCCACTCCCTTTGGATCTAGGTTCCCTCTTGAAAGCTTGTAAGCCAGTCACTTCTTGCCTTTGTTTCCCTCCCCTCATTTTGGGTAACCATTGTCTAAGTTGCCCCTCCCTGTCTACACTTTGTGTGGAGGGGGTGGGAATAGTTCTTGCAGCAGGGATTTGTTTCCTTTTTTGAACTACTGCATTCAAAGGTGTAGGTCCTGTTTATCGAATTGTGTCAGATGACGCTCTTCCCCCCCCTTCTTCTTTCTTCTTCGGGGTGTTGCTGCCTGTTTTAAATGATATTTTCTCCTTTATTACTTAGTCTTTCCATTGTTAGTTGCTTGTTTATTACTTCTATTTTTCTTCCTGGTGTGTGATTGTGTGGAAGGAGTGGGTTTCTCCTCTTCTCTACCCAACAGGAAATAGCCACTGTGCTCAAACAGTCCAGCTACAACCATCGCCTCTATAACTCCATCCAATGTGCAAGAGCCAATACCAGCCTCTATGTCACCTGATCAATGGTAGACAGCCAACAAAACAAGCCAAACCCACCCCACACAGGCGCACTAACAAATAATGGACAACAGTACACATGTATCCATGCTCTAGCTACAACCTCAGGAGACAGTTGTTGAGTGTAGGAAAATGTCAACATATAGTTATCAATACTTACAATTATGAAAAGACCACAATGTCTGTTAGACAACAGATAATTTTAACTCACACAAAGTGACAGGAGAGAATGGCACGGATAAATGACCAAGATGCGGAGCCAGAAAACATTTCTAAGGAAGAAATGCTAATGGAATTAACTGAACAACAGTTCAAAGAATGATACTTAGGTTCCTTCAAAGGAATGAAGGAAAGATTGAGGAAATCAAGGAGTACACACAGTGTTTCAAGGGATTAAGATGAGGCTAGACATAATACAATCCCTAACCAGATTCTTTAAAGAGACTGAAAAACTCATCATTAACTTTATATGGAAAGGAAAAAGAACTTGTCCCGTCCGAAAATGGCTATTCCCAGCATGCTGCTAGGAGAGATTAAACCCAAGTAGGGGCAACAGGAGATTAGAAATAAAAAGGAAGACACAAGACACAAATGAAAGTAGTAAAGTTGGGACCAGGTGGAACACAGCACTCTGATGGAGATACTGTGACACAGACCGAGTTTATTATATCCACCAATCAAAAGAAAGTGCTGAGGACAGGGAAAAGAATGCAAAACCAACAGATGATGCTTGTGCATGCAGTTAGCAGGACCTTATTCAAAGAATGTACCTTGTATTTGCTAAGAAGACAGAGAAAGAGCAGCTAGATGCTCTTGCAGACTTGAACCGAAGGTCATACAAGGAGAAAACCTTGCAAGTTCCATGTCCCCTGAAGCAGCCCTGCAGGTTCCTCAGGGGGCAGCTTGACCTGATTTTCTGAACCACAACTGTTCAGTTACAACCCTTCGGTTAAACGACCCCCAAATCTGAGACCTTGTAGTTCAAACCCACTGTGCAGTCTAGTGCGTATCCTGTAGTGCCACAGCAGTACAGTACTCCATTTTCCTGGTGGGCCCAATGTTATCACATGATCCCTAAAGGAGACAACTCAGCATGGCTGTGGTTAGAGCTTTCAGATGGAGCAGGCATCACAAATGCATTCTTGCTCCCTTGCAGAGGAAGGAATGCCCTAGGAACCTAGGCACACAGGTGGCATCTGTTGTTGTTCAGTCATAGCAATCCTGTCTAGGTTTATGAGAGGTACTGATGGGTGTGAACTGCTAACTTCTCTTTCATCCTACAGCACCACACCAGGGCTCATGAGGCCTCTAGGAGGTTAACAAAAATGAAAGAAAACAGATTCTATCTTACAGGTTCCTATAGGAGCTCAGCCTTGTTGCAGTTGGTTGAGAAAATTATATGATAATAAATTTCTATCCTTCCAATAAGTACGTTTTCAGTAATTTGTTATAGCAGGAACATGATGCTAATAAATAGGATTAAGAGCTATCATCTTTCAGTAACCTTTAACAACTGGAAATCAGTTACCAATTTCTTTAATTGTCTCCTAAGCCTCAAAAAGGTTACCACACATAAGTGAGGAGACATCACCTCTCTCAGCAGATGAAGAAAGTGTGGGAGTCCTGGGCCTGTGGTGAGGAAGCAGCTGCTACCACAGAGGCACACTGATACAGTCTCAGGGGAAGTTTTTGTCTGAGGCTGAATCACTGTGGGTGGTAAACTATTATATTGCTGACAGAAATAAACTGCCGCATCTTCAGGCTGGAAGCTGCTGATGCTGAGAGTGAACTCTCTCCCAGACCCACTGCCATGAAATCGGTTGGGAATCCCAGAACCCAGGTTGGATGCCCGATAGATGAGACGCTTGGGAGCCTGTCCTGGTTTCTGCTGGTACCAGTTTAAGTAGCTGCCCACACTCTGACTGGCCTTGCAGTTGATGGTGACCATTTCTCCTGGAGACACAGCTAGTGAGGCTGGAGACTGGGTCATCACAACGTCCCCTGTGGCACCTGTAATCACAGTAAACAATTACCATACACACATACGTTATGTCAACATGTGTAATATCATATCTTTTACAATACATTTTCCTATTCCCAGTGTAACAGAGTTTGTATAAGTAAAATGCATTATTTCACTCTTTATGTGAAATCATTTTCCATAATCTATAATAATATCAGAGAGCTCTGGTAGCACATGGATTATGCGTCAGTCTGCTAACCCCAAGGTCAGCAGTTTAAAACCACCAATGGTTACTCAGTAGAAAGATGAAACTTTCTGCTCCTGTAAGGTTTTACAGCCTCGAAAACCCTATGCAGGTTTGCTAAGAGTCGTGACTGACTCCATGGCACACCACCACCACAACCACCACACAATAATATCAGTCTGGATGCATAAAAGTGCTTTTCAATTTCTCACCTGAGACCCAGACAAGCAAAAGCACGGAGAGGAGTTGCGTCTGTGCCCTCATTGCTGTGCAGTTGCGCACTGGGTGCAGCTGAGTTCACAGTGCAGGGAAAGAGCCCATTTGTAAATCTCTAGGCATCCTGCCACTGCCCACAGGGGCTTATGCAAAGCAGATAGTGAATATAGAATCAAATCATATGGGTAGTGGGGAAGAACACAATATAAAGAAAATACTAAAACTGTCTTTACATATTTCAAATACTGATTGGCAATAGAATAAGCTGCTATGAATTTATAAAGTAGAGTTTCTAATGAATTCAGATGAAAGTTGACAAAGATCCTCTAAGACAGAAACTCAAAGAGAACACATGAACAGTTATGTAAACTTGCTGGTGACCACATTG